CACATTGACAATACCTGTCAAAGGCGTTCTTGGGAATACGGAAGAGAGACGAGGCTTCAACTCGGGGAGCATGTAGATCTGGGAACTTGGCCGACAGAGCAAAGCGGAAGGAGTCCTATCAACGAGACAAACAACCAAACCAACATCACCAGAGCAAAACATGGACCACTTCTCTCCAAACTTCACCACCGTTGAAAAGATCAAGGGACTGGCTNTNGATCTATAAAAACNAGAGGTCGATAAGCGAGCAGGGGGAAGAGGCGGGGGATCCGGTGGTACCGGCGGGTCTGGCGGTTTCAGTGGTTGCGGTTTTGGCGGTTTCGGAAGAAACAAAACCTTGCCATGAGCGAGACCAACAAGAGTCGCTGAGGTCCACGAACTNATATCCATACCCAAGACGGCTGACGAGTTCATAGCTAATCTCTTCGGCGACATGAAAGGCTTCAAAATGACGGAGAGGGAGAGTGGCGGCGGAGANGAGATACATCAGCGGCGGAGACGAGACACGGCGGTGGCTTCTGGGGANAGAGACTTTATCTAAAGGAAAGTCTGGTGGTAGAGGGGCTGCGGCGGAGATCTATTTCCGGTGGTTTTGTGCTTGCAACGNCGTCTCTCGNGAGANNTGCCNNGGAGGAATAAAACTAGGGCGAACCGCTGTTCACATAATGTAACTATATTGTATTTTCTTAAAGAAAGAAAAATATTAGGCTCCAAAAGCAAGTTTTCGAAAGTTAAAACCAATTTTCATTACTGGCTTCTAACATGTATTTCCTGGTGAAATTTCAGGTGTTTGAAGCTATTAATTTGAATTCTAATTAAACTTGATAAATTGCATCATATATACTTTATTAGGATAACACCCACGCTGTGCGCGGGTTAAAATGAATATGTTTGTGTATATTCGAATTTGTGGAGGGTAAAAAATGTGTATACATAAACATAACATATTTCTAGGTAGTCTATATAGTTAAAAATTATCGAATACAATTTATATAGCAATCATTTATAGTTGTAAAGAATCTCAGATTTGCTTAAAATATGTGAATTTGCGATTGTTTTGTATAGAAATATGTTTCATTCGTGAAATAATTCAAANCAATAGTTNTTTGAANTTTNAGTTNGTANAAANTTATCATACCCATTTTAANACCAATCATAATTTGTTATACTTAAAATAATATAGAGTTTACGTGATTTATAAAAGTATTTAATTTACATTTAAAGGATTAGCACATATTTGAAAAAAAATTAGCCTACAAATTTCAAACGATATTATAAAATATTCTAAAACCATATCTCTTAACTAAACTGAAATTTTAAATCATCCTAACTTATTCAAATTCAAAATAATTATAATACATTACTCTCAAACAATATTTAGATATTACAAAGATTGTTTTAATATATTGTTCTCAAAACAATATTTAGGTAAAATTAAAATTCTAGAAAAAAAAATATGTGATATTTTGGAGAAAATGATTAAAAATAGTGATAATAAACCAAAAATCTCTCTCAAAACAAAAAGATAATAAACCAAGAATAAACCAAAACCAATCTAGCAAAGTAATTTAATCGACATTACATATTTAATTAAACCAACTGGTCATATCAAACTTTTATAATTTTGACTTTTGACAACGCTTGCCCTGGCTCGACGGAACATAAAAATGGTTTCATCTTCAAACATTTACTCCACTTCTAGGTACTCTTCGAGCAATTCTTNGAAATCACGGTGGATTCTGACATGGAAGAACAATTATGTACACTAAATTACTATCACCAATAAAAACCCAACCAAAATTTAAAAGATATAAGTAATAACAACGAAAAAAGTTTATAAGATATAACCAGCCATGATTACAAAATTCAAATCTCTTTGCTCATTTTCCTCGAACGGTATCATATTCCAAATGACATTTATCCACCTTGTCATGGTCAAATCACCTTCTTCATCTCCAACATCTTCAAGAGGTAGGTGAACAAACTATTGTTGTATCTTTGTGAATTTCTACAATTTAACATTATATTTATAGGGAATTTATTTTAAACAATTTTAGGTCTTTGTGAATCAAATCAAATCAAATCTTATTAGAATATCTAAATTTTAATTTTCAAATTTTAAATATATTTAAGGGTCCTATATTTAATGCGACATATTTAAAAAACAAAACCAGAATGATATTAAAATCTCGCTTAAATAGGATATAGAAATATTTATTATCCACTTTTTAACTGATTTGATACTGAATCAAATAACTAATGCACACGAATTAAAGAGAAAAAATGAAATAATTCAAAGAAAATATTCTAAAGTTAATTGATATCAAATCAAATTTAGAAAAAAAAAATTCACGAAATTAATTTAAATCAATTAGAAAAAAAAAATCACGTAATTGATATATCATTTGGTTCAATTTACATGGTTTTCTTTCTAGAGATTCAATTTATGTATAATTAGACTAACGACAAAACATGCTTTGATTTGAATCAAATTTAAAAAACAATATATTTGATTAGTTAATGACATTGTTTACATTGATTGATGTGTATAATGAANTTTTATTTTTGTATGACGATGTTAAATGATTAATTAATCCACTTTTTAATATTAACATAATTGGTGTTAATTTATTATGTGAATGTATATGCATAATATTTTTTTTTATCTAAGTTAATGTACTGTTACAATATGATTTACATTTTTTTGTTTTGTAGATTAATTTACATGGTTTAGGTAGAGTATAAGTTTTAATGATAAATTATTTAAAACCATAATTATTTGCATATTTTTGAAACATATTTCAATTGCATATTATTTTTCCAATGGTTCAATTTAATTTGCTAAGAAATAGCATTTACTTTCGATTAATGGTTTAGACTGATTCATTAAATAAAATATACTATCTAACTATGTTTGGAAGTAGGGATAATTTGAACCATGTCAAAATAAATGACTAAAATTTGTGTTTGGTAATTAGAATAGTAATAGTTTAAAATTAACAATTAATTAAATAAAAAATGCTGAAAAAAAATATGGTGATGACACCTAAACAAAAGTGGTCTCCGAATGCTTCTCCTTTAATATATAAGAAATGTTTTTAATATATAAGAAATGTTGTTAAGATTGCTAATAAGCCTGGTTGGTACAAAAAGGAGAAGCCAATTTACATCATTGATTAACGAACCTAAATATTGAAAGAAGAAAAAATATCATAACATCCCGTGGCCGATAAGGTTCGAACTCGCTCACTCACTATTCCGATTCCATTTTTCAGCAGCCAAGACTCTTCATTATCTCCTTTAGCTTCTCAATCACAGCCGTTGGATCCGCCAGATCCATTGCATGATACTCCAAACCTTTCCACTTAGCTATAAGCTTAAAATGAGGTCTCTTAAAATCGACGCTCACAATCTCAAATATCGTTGTGTTTGGTGTTGCAGCCACAATGTGAGCCAGTCCTGCTCCGTGAGCTCCTATGATCACTGACGAGTCTTGTATGGTCCGGACTTGATCTTTCTTCGACATGTGCGCAAACAATTTCGCAATGTTAATCCCGCATTTCGTCACACCAGTAGAGCCAGATGCCACCCAAAATGGCGCAACGAGTCGAACACTTCTTCCTCATTGATTAGCCAAGACTGGACATTTTCTAACGACCGGTGTTGGTTGACCGGAAACTCGAAAGCTGATCTGATCATTTCGCCAAACTCTGATAGCCTTGCGGTTTTTTTATTGTCCGGATTTTGCCACAGATTGTGAGCTGGTTCTCCTTTGCAATCAAATTCTCCGGTCACGCCCTTGAAAATCGCGGTTTCATATCCTAACGGTGAAAGAATGGCGTGGCGGAAACAAACCGGTTTGCTGAAATTCTTTGCATATCTGATCCCGGAAAACAAAGCTCTCCATGTTTCTTCTATAACTGCATATGCAAAAACGTTCATGTTCATTTTCATTCATCGAATAGAGTTAAACTTAAACCATACAACACATGAAAATCCAAATCCAAATCCAAATCATAGCGTACGATGCAGTGTCCATCAATGAAAATAACGTGTGGTCGATTAGGCAACCCGGCAACTCTAGATGAAACATAAGCGCTGTACCAATCTGTCACGGCATGGAAGAGATTTGAATACTCGAATCGAGTGACAAACAAAGTTGGTGCCAAGCAAAAGCAAAATCAAACACCAATCCACAATACATATGTTTCAAGAATCACAACCTAATCAAAACACTGAAAGAACTCAAATTTTCAATCCCACACACAGAAAGATGCACAAACCTCATCACATACGAAATCTTCATTGGCAACAACATGAATCGAAGCAACCAAATCCCCTCATTGTATGTCTATCAATGCCACCTTCTTCAATATATTCATCAAGCATCTCCTCGAAAATTAAACAAATTATTTTTTTTTTAAAAGGCTTATTAGTAGGAGAAGAAGATGGTCAATTCAATTTAATTATTATAGAAAAAGCTGATTATAGGGTAATTTAAATTAAATGCTCAATTTAATACACATCCTCTATTTTTAGGTTGAGAGACCAAATAATAAAGAATTAACAAAGAATAAGAGAAATTAATTAGCATTTAGCTGG